GGGAGTGTCATTACAGAGCAATATGTGCCTAAATGCGCTTGTCATTACACGACGACGTTCAAATTACAGCAATCCGTCTTGAAATCACAAAGCTCAGGAGCACCTTAGAACTCACCGCACTGTTGCCAAATAGTATCAGCGATGCTCACGGGACTCCTGAACAGATGTTTATACTCATTTGGGCTCCAGGTGATCTTTTTTTGGTGGCCAAACAGTTGGAAAGAAACAACAAATAAGCAGATTATTTCACGTTCTATTGCTCTCCGTCACAGTAAGAGTGTGGCGAGTGGATCTGTGGCCAAAAGTGATCCTCTTCCACACGTATCGATTGTGTGTTTATCCCATGACTGACAAAATAGACAGGATTCATAGATATTTTATGATGCAGATGATAAGTGGTTATTAATACTTGCAATGAAAGTGAGCCAAGCAAGCAGGCAGGAAGACCAATATGACAACATGCAAGTTTCCTATTTGGGAAACAAAAATTAAAAGTAAAAGGAACAAAATTGTCATGGATGCATAACTGTGGCATGCATTTTTTTTAGATATGTTTGCTGATGTTAAAAAATATTTAAATCGAATACAAGTTCATATTTTGGATCCTACAAACTGGTTAGTGGGTGTGAAAACTGGCTTGTGATTTCTCAACTCAACTCAACTCAACTGTATTTACAGAGCACTTTCAAACAGGGGCGCCCCGGTAGTCCAGTGGTTAGCACGTCGACTTCACAGTGCAGAGGTACTGGGTTCAATTCCACCTCCGGCCTCCCTGTGTGGAGTTTGCATGTTCTCCCCGGGCCTGCGTGGGTTTTCTCCGGGTACTCCGGTTTCCTCCCACATTCCAAAAACATGCATGGTAGGCTGATTGAACACTCTGTATTGTCCCTAGGTGTGAATGTGAGCGTGGATGGTTGTTCGTCTCTGTGTGCCCTGCGATTGGCTGGCAACCGATTCAGGGTGTCCCCCGCCTACTGCCCGAAGACAGCTGGGATGGGCTCCAGCACCCCCCGCGATCCTAGTGAGGATCAAGCGGTTCGGAAGATGAATGAATGAATGAATGAATGAACTTTCAAACAGCCATCGCTGCATACAAAATGCTGTGGTGCAACGAACATATATACAACAATAAAGCTATAAATCAGTAACAAAGATGGTAGAAGGCATAAAACAGTAAAACTAAGATCAGACCTGAGTCATGCTGAGTCAAATGCCAAAGAATACAAGTGAGTTTTGAGGCGGGTTTTAAAGATGGGCAGCGAGGAGGCTTGCCGAATGTTCAGTGGGTGGTCATTCCAGAGACAGGAACCAGCAACGGAAAAGGCTCGATCCCCTCTGAGTTTCCGTTTAGTTCTTGGTACTTCTAATAATGTCTGGTCCGCAGACCTGGGGCGCCGGGCAGGTGTGTAGGGGTGGATGAGCTCAGAGAAGTATGGTGGCGCAAGGTCATTTCAAGTTTTGAAGACAAATAATAGGAACTTGAAAAGAACTCTAAAATGTATAGGGAGCCAGTGAAGGGATGCCAGAGT